GTGGCAGGTGGCTGAATTTTACGGAGACTTGCCACTCCAACCCTCCTCCTTTCTCATCCGGGCTTGGGACCGGCCATTTGCTTGTTTCGTTGAGTGATTAGAGATCGAGTTTCAGAAATCACACTTCCAAACGAGCAAATGATGCACTTTACTCTATATATGATTATGTATACTTTGATATGAGACAATGTGTTTTTCGTACTTTCCAACATTACGTTAGTTGATAAAAGTGATTGGTAAACTATCGAGGTAAGAAAGGGAGAAACTATATGCCAATGCAGTGGTTCATAAAATGACTTGTTTCTCGGCCTCTTTAAGATGAGAAATACTTTTTTCAAAATTATGACATCGTTTAATTACTATAAACTGCTCATACTCGCTTATGCAATAATAGGGAAGTTAATACGTACTTGGTTTGCTATGCACTTTTGTTGAGTGAGCTTGGAAAGTCTAACTTTCAGAGTATATTCCCGAATACGATAGACAGTTGGAAAAGTACATATTTTGACACTTCATAATTGTTCATCTCCTGAGATTTTTCCATGCTGTTCTTTATCATAAAATCCCTCATAATATCGTCATGATATTTGTATAGTAATGGATTTTCTTGTAAAACAATAATGTAACAAAGTCCTTTTTCCTGAATTTTCATGACACTCCTTAAACACCGGGACAATTGAATCAAGCATCGTACTCCTCTGCTATGCTATCCCTCAGAATGGATTCCTGTTTCTAACAAAATTTGAATGTTTGTAGTATATCATGCTTCACAGTGTTCTCGTCAGACCGTGCGCAAATTTTTTTTCTAGATGCGTGACTGTGCATGTGTTACTGTGACAATTCGTCTAAATCAAACTAATTTCTGCTTCATTCCTACGTATCCAGTTCGACAATACAGCGTATATATGGTAACTCAGTTTGTCACGTGTGCTGTGCCTGGGAACCAATGATATAATAGTTGAAACGTCGTAATTGGGCATTTTAAATCTACGGACGATATGACAGTGTTGGAATCAAATCCGTTTATTAGTGCGTGATCAGATGTTCTGGAAGAGTGATAGGTAGATACGTATCACTGGTATGCAAAGTTAGGGTTACGCTTACATGCTGCAGCTGCCTAGCTTTGGCATCATAATCTCAGTTATTCATTCTTTCGTGTACTGTTTCATAAACCTTCAACTTTCACGTGCCACATTTGACATAGGCACACATTATTTGCATTTTTATAAATTAAACGATACCTACATGATATGCAGTAATTACTAACTGTTGACTAGGAAAAATTCCAATGATACGTTTCTGCAATCGAATTAGTCAATATCACATGGAATCTTTGCCTGCTCAGACTTTTTGAACATATCATTAAATAGAGTGATGTCATAGGTAATTAATCTGACAGAGAGTTAACCAACTACCTCAAGTCAATAGAATGAGTTTCATACATTTTATGATTGCACTTTATATAAAATTGAGGGAA